AATTCGTCAAACTTCCTCAAAGTTAAACCGTCTTCCCATGGGTCTATAAACTGAGAAGGTGTTACAACAGGTGGTTGTTCAACATACTCATCACCTTCTTCACGTCCTAAAGTTTCAGAATCGCCCTCGACACCCTTTCCTTTATCTTTCTCTTCGTATGCAACAATGGCGTTAGCCTCATCATCTCTAGTCTGTTGGTTTTGATAATTCATACCAACAGAACTTTGGTCCACTCTAACAGCCTCATCATCATCATCATCATCATCTTCAATCACTTGCTCAGGCTGTTCCGATACCTTTGTGACATCCACAATCAACACACATCTTCGCTTCTCTGTATCAAAGGACGTCAAATACACATCCAAATCCTCATCATCATAAATCGTACACTTTTCCCTCACATTCGATTCTGCCACTAGCGGATAGTAGCTCAACTCCAACTTAACATGGCTCTCAACAAATCCAACCTTCTTGTTTATCCTTCCTTTTAGCATCGACAACGTTATATCACTCGCTTTTGTCTTGATCATAATACTATACATCCGACCTTCACACTTAAAATATACGCTAACTCTTTCGCTCATTGTATCCTGCCAAAAAAAAAATACAATAAACAAAATCAGTTTTACCAGTTTTACTAATTTTACCAGTTCCAGTACTACTTGGTTTTACCAGTTTTATCATTTATGCGAGTTGTACCAGTACTACCAGTTTTACTAGTTATACTATATTTACCACAGTGCCTAGTTTTACTAGTTCTACTCTAAATCGAATTTCGATTTCGGGTTCTAAACTCTGCAATTCAAGACGAATCTGGGTCTAAAAGTCATTCTAATCAACTAAATAGCTCAATCAACCAAGAACCCATGCTCAAACATCCAATGTGCTAAGGATTTATCTTCTCAACCAAAATCCAATCAAATTTCAAAAATCTAGTTCTATATGAAGCTTATAGTTGAAGAATGTACCTGCATTTTGGAGCTTTGTACAGCTCAAAAGAGAAGAAGAAACGCAGGGCCTCCGACGTCGCCGGAATCGACAGCTCCGGCACCAAAAACGGACCACGACGGAGGAGGAGGCGGAGAAGAGCTCTGAGCTCGGGTTCGGCGTTCGTGGGTTCGATTTTTTTTTTGTTTTGTTTATTTTTTTTCTTAATTAAAGTAAATAAAAGAAAAACAAAAAGAAAATAAGGAGGAGGGGTAGTTTGGGGATGACACATTATCATTAATGAAGGAGGGGTAGAGAGATTAAAAAGGGAGATAGTGGAATAAAAATGAGAAAAAAGGGCATGGGAGATGATTACTCGAGGAAACTGGCCCATTCATCATCATTTTATCTGAACTGAAGGAAGGCCACGTGGGACAATGGCAGTTTGGTGAATAAGAAGAAAGAGAAAGGGCAAAGAAGAGAAGAGGATGAAAGAAATCCCTACACTCACACTCACTCACTCGAGAGAGAGATTTGGAGATTCGAGATGGAGGATTGTATAAGGAAACTGGCCTTGTGGCACACGAGAACCTTCAAGCCCGTTATGACGCACGACGAGCTCGAACCGATCATGTCCACCATGGGCTTCATCCCCCACCAGGCCACCGGAGGATTCAAGGAGTACTCTTTCCTCTCTTCTCCCACCGATCACCCCAGGCCCAGGCTCCCCTATCCCCACATCGACGGCCTCCACATTAGCACCTACCAGTCCTTTCTCCACGCCTTGGCCTTCTTTCTTCATGTATCCGATCTCTTCCACGTCAGGTACCTACCTACGTAACCCACGATTTTCCCAAAACAAAAAAAAACAAAAAAATCAATCAATTGATATATGATGATACCTCCCTTTTGTGCAGGGGAATGCCGCTGCAACGTGTCAAAGATAAAAACAGAAAATGGCGTCGCATGGAAGATGATGAAACTGTGTTTGTGTACCGAGATGGAACGTTGGAGAAGTCGAGCCACGGTTTGAGCAGAGAAGAGTCGTACCCACATGTTCTCATCCACCATCAACCGCTACCTCATTGCACTCTTCTTCCCCTCAAGGACATCACTCACTGTCTGGGTTTGTTTTGAGCTGAGCCCTTTTCTCAACAACTTCTTATGATATATTTTTTTAATATATACATTAGCTACCTAGAATGACAATTTTTAGCTTCATTGTCTACTCTAGTTCTTGTATAACCTTCATCCATGACTTTGACAGTCTAATATATATTGAGTCTATATATTGTCTATCTTTTCTCTTCAACTCAGAACTTATAGTTCCTATCTATGTCATATTGATATTAACCCTGCTGCCCTCTACCCTTTTCTATTAACACCTACGTAGATTCTTTTGTACTTACACACGAGCATGAAATGAAATGGAGATATCCATCATGTATTGTCTCCCGCAAGATAAGAACTCTACATTTCCCACAAAATAAGATTTTCCGGGCTACCTTAGACCATCCTCATTGGAGGGTTCTTATAAGTAAGATTTATCAAAAATGGTATGTTATATAAGATACCCTCTTTGATAAATCTTACCTATAAGAACCCTCCAATGAGGATGCCCTTATCCCCACATCAGACAGCTTTTTATGACGCATTGGCCTTCTTTAATTTCTCCATGTCTCTGATCTCTTCCATGTCTGGTACCCCTTTCTGATTATCTAGTGCTGGATATATGGGATGTTACGCCAAATTTTTTTTGTGCTAAATGAGTCAATATCATATAAATTACATTTTAATTACCTATACAACTTAATTCATTGGCAAAAAAAAAAGATTTTTTTAAAAAACAAGAAATTAAAAAATGCTAACTCAATATTGAAATTAAGAAAGTCAAAAGCCCATTAACTTGCTGAAGTTTCTTCCATGCCTGTGAGCATTGATGGAGTTGATGATTCCACCGTTCCATGGTCTATGATCTTGAAAGTGGAACCTGGTGAATGGAATGATCTAACTGTTATGCAAAACATTGTTTCCTTGTTTCCATGTGGCATAGATGATGGCATAGGAAACAAGTTTCCTAAGGATTGAAGGAGCTTATATTGACCCGGTGAAACCACAAAGCAGAAACAGATAGTCTCATGTTTCCACTGTAGAAGAGCATAAACAACAAAGAGGAGAAACCTGCATTCCCCAGGAAATCAGCCTTGATCTGGTTGGCAATCTATCCAAGTGAGTGATCCACATATTGAAAGAATTACGAGGATTTGCTCATTTAAACCAAAAGGATGCTGCCCAGATTTTCTTATCTTCTCTTTGCCTTAAAACCTGCCAAATCTTAGAAGAAGAGTAATCATTACATACCTCATTTTGAACTGTCCATCAATAAGAATCATCATGGGGACGCTGAAGAGGAAGCGAGACATTAGTGAGGAACACGGGAAGGTAAGGACCAGATATTTCCAGCGGTCGCTTCAGCCATTGTACCATGGAGAGGGATCCTTTGGCTCCTAGTTCCATCTTCTCCCAGGAGTACCGAAAGGAGTCTAACTATCCCTCCAAAAGCTTGCAGCTAACCCATTGCCAATCTTGTACTTCAAGGATAAATATAGAAAATAGTGACGGTCGCATGGAAGTGATGAAAGTCTTTTTGTGTATAAAGATGGAATACGATCTACGCAAAGAAGAATTATATACACATGTACAGATGTACTATCTATCATCCACCCGATACTGCTACCTCATCGAGTCTCTTCACAGCAACTTGAAGATTTCCCGAAGATTCACAGCAACGAGTGTTTTGAATGGTTTGTATGAAAATGACAAAATCTTTCTTATTCAATAATTATCGATTATGAAATCTAATGTTAGTTGTAATTGTCTCTTGAAATTAATGTTTTCGAGATATAGTGATTAACAAGTACATTTGAATTCTTTGTGACTATAAATGTCTCATTTTCTGTCATATTACATTTAAACAGGAATTAAAATAAATAGACAAAACAAATTAAGAAGAAAATCATTAACAAAAATAGAAGTTAGTTAAATCCAACTCAAATGGACACATAACATCGTTTAACTGAAAAATTAAAACTTTTTTAGACAACCTAAATCCATTCAACCCACATTGTTCTTTTGCTTAAACTATTAGCCAAATTATTATGAAAATGAGTAAATTCTTAAAATAATAATAATAAACTTCACTAGAAATATACTGTTTTCTATACAGTCACAGGTTTGTTCCTTATTAGTAGAAATTTATCTAGTGATGGATTCGCGTGAAAAATTTTCCATGACAAAAGTAATCAAGTTTTATAAAATTTAAACTCAATTAAATGGATTTTTTTTTTTGAAATATTCATTATGAAAATATATCTCTTTACTTGTAACTTTATTATAATAGTATTAATAATCTCATCCATAAACGAAATTAGTTTATTTTTTCAAATATCTATTTTCTTTTAGTTTCTAATATACCACTTACCAGGTCATAACTCTCATTACTTTAATTTTGTTTTTAATTTATTTTATGCATTTATCGTTTTCCCAAAAAAAAAATATATATATATACTTGGGCATGAACACCAAAAAATATTTTGCGTATAAAATTCAATTGTGCCCCCCTTCTTTGTCGTAAAGTGGTACGAAAATATATATGCATTATTGATTGCCAATACTTTTACTAGGGATGGTAGGCATATATCATATGTAACACAGGAGGACCAAGCTGGTTATTTCATCAGTTGGCTAAATATGCATGCAGATCAAAGCTAAGGAAGACTAAAGATCGCTGTTTCGTTTCAAGTTTTGTTTAGTTTATGTCTGTTTACCGGAATCCCGTGTGTTTTTGTAAATGGCAAAAAAAAAAAAAGAGTCGTGCATTAATTATCACACTGGCAATATTAGGTAAAGCATAAATAGACTTTGAGGTTTAAAAGAAACAGAATGAGACAGTGTTAGTCTTTTATAGGTGGAGATTGAGGTGGAAACAAGTAAGGTACCGGGTGAGTTAAAGGACCACCTCCCTTGCAATGATCGCTGAGTCGGACGATGCCATAGTCGTGCTTCCCCAAGAAAAAGACACAATTTTTGGTTACGCCGGCGCCGTACAAGCTAGCCGGGAGACAGAAAGATTCAGCCTTTGAGAGGAAAATGCTGAGATCTCCAATGTCTTTGGTATACACAGCGTTTCCTTCTTCGTCTAGCCTCAACACAAGGAAATGGTCCCATTCCATAAAAGTCTTCCTAGGGGGCCTGCTCTCTGTGTACCATTTCAACATAAAAGTCTCACCTGTGCTTATCGACTCCACCAAGTAGTGTTGCTTCTTGCAACACGTCTCCAACCGCTGCCACTCGCTCTTTGTCATTTCGGGATATTCAGGAAGCTGCAGCATCTGTAGCTTGGGTTTGTGCCTGTGTCTCCCAAGATCCCATGATCCTGTGTAGTGGGATCTAGAAGCGGGCATCGAAAACATCTCATCTCTCTTGGAGTACATTACATGGGAGGAGAAGAAGCTGGGGTCTGTGATTCTGATGTTGGTCCACTTGCAATTTCTTTGAGCAGGCCTGCAAAAGCTGAGTTGAGGTCCCATGAACTTGATTGCCACGGGACCTCAACTCAGCTTGTGCAGGCCGGCTCAAAAAAATTGCAAGTGGACCAACATCAGAATCTCAGACCCCAGCTTCTTCTCCTCCCACGTAATGTACTCCAAGAGAGATGAGATGTTCTCGATGCCCGCTTCTGGAGGCAATTACACCGGATCATGGGATCTTGGGAGACACAGGCTCAAACCCAAGCTACAGATGCTGTGGTATCCTGAACACCGCAAGGTGAAGGACATGTATGTGAAGAGTTTGGATAAGTTTGCCAGAAGCGATATAGTGAGAAAGTGCGAGTGGAAGTTGTTTGATTCGTGTAGCAGAATGGAACATTACTTGGTGGAGTCGTCGCAGACTGGTGAGACTTTTATGGTGAAATGGTTGGCAGAGAGCAACCCCCGTAGGAAGGGGAGAGTGGAGTGGGATCATTTCCATGTGTTGAGGCTAGACAAGGAAGGAAATGCTGTCTATACTAAAGACTTTGGAGGTATCTGCATTTTCCTCTCCAAAGCTGAACCTTTTTGTCTCCCAGCAACATGCTTATATGACCAGCGCCCAAACTGCATCTATTTCTTGGGCAACCACAACGTCGGAATACAATGCATCGTTTCATGATCCCAGACTTTGCGTATTAGCTCTAAGTTCTTTCGGTCCGTTTTTATGATCCCCGACTTTGCGTATTAGCTCTAAGTTCTTTCGGTCCGTTTTTATGATCCCCGACTTTGCGTACTAGCTCTAAGTTCTTTCGGTCCGTTTTTTTGATCTCCGAATTTTGATAATTTTTTATCTAAGGGCATCATTAATTGTGGGATTTTAAAACTAAGATTTTGCATAGAAAATATCTTATATAAGATAATTTTATATAAGATTCTGATAGCTAGGCTTGGCCACTTAACAGTTATACTCATTACCCGGTATCGACTTTATACATGACTCGTACCGTCTGCAAAAAAGAACATATTTAACTATCACGTAGGGAAAAGGATAGAAATTGTTGGGAAACTGGTATATTAGTATTTTATTTGTTTAAAATTGTTACAGGTTTAATAAATCATTTAAATAACGCGAATAAGTTTGTATCGATTATTTCAGAAAATTTTAGACTTAATAACCATTTAAAAATGGTACATTGATAGATACTATGCAGAAGTACTGTTACATTTTGATTTTGATTTGTTTTAACATAAATGTTTTTTTAAATATATATTGAGTATTATATACGTTGTTAAGAAATTGTCTTAATAAAACAGAAAAAGTAAAAAATTGTATATGATGTTGGTACCAGAACTGGAATCTCAAATCAGGCCTGTTAACGTAATTGGGCCTGGCCGTGTAACGGCCCAATAGTGGCGAGAGGCCATAGTTCGTCTCGGGAGCGGAAGCTCAAGGTTTAAAACTGTAACGTAAGGAGCTCGCGGTCAAAGTAGCCATAATGGAGATCGCGAGGTAGGAGCGGAGATCACGCATCATTAAATGTGCTGCGTAGTGTTTGTATAAATAGTAGAGGTAGGTCATTTGTAAAGGGGAGAACAATCTTGAAACTAAACAGCAATAATACTGTCCGCTTTCTAAATTTATCATTTCTTACGCATATGAAACAGGAAATTGATCCAATGAGGCATTGTAGTTGACAATAAAAAACAAAATAATATAACTCAAAAACATGGAACAACCAAAAATTGATCTACTTCTTCCAGTGCGGTGTCCACTCAAACCTCTCGGACCCTCTTTTTAAGAAATGAGCTTTTACTAACTAAGAAACCCATTTTTTTATAATGGGCTTTTACTTTTGCTTATGGGCTTCTTATTTGGTAAAAACCCATTTTTTAAAAAGAAGGCCACAGAGGTTTGAACGGCCACCGCTGAAAGAAGCAGATCAATTTTTGGTTGCTCCATGTTTTTGAGTTATATTATTTTGTTTTTGACTGTCAACTACAATGCCTCATTGGATCAATTTGCTGTTTCATATGACTCAGAAATATTCACGGGTGATGCATCTCTCAGGCAAATATACTAGTAGTCTCAACTCGAGTGTATTTAAATCTGGCTTGCAAAAATATAAACTCAGATCTTCACGGATAAGAACCTGGGCCGCCAAATGAGATGGGCCTGAAATACTTATTGGTTGCTCTCTTTTTTCCTCTTCTAATAATTTGGTCTGAAACGGGAACTGTCAAAGTCAAAACATGTCAGAGCGATCTTTTGTCGCATCCCCACCACAACCGTCTTGAAAAGCGGAGCAGATGATGATCAAAAGGAACCCCAAAACCCTCTCAAACGCATCACTTTTGTCTGCCACCTGTGAGGATCCCAACAACACTGCTTGTTCATGGATTTTGGGCTTCGGCAACTCGCATTGTGCATCCTTCCTCTCTGCCGCCTCTTACTAGCCACCGCCGAGGATGACTGGAAGATAGCCACAGCCACGCTCTCCAGAGACAGGGACGGCTCCTCCTCCGTCGCTACTGGTCCTTTTCTCTTCTCTCTCTCCTCCTTTTTTTTTTTTTTTCCTCATGACTAACTAGACTAAATCGGTGCTGGTGATAGGAGGCGCTTGTGGGTATGGAGATCTGAGGCAAAGCAGCTATGGCGGGTACAGCGCAGGCCTGAGCGGGAAGCTGTTCAACAGGGGAAGCAGCTGCGGCGCTTGTCTAGAAGTGCGGTGCGTGAACCACATCCGGTGGTGCCTCCAAGGCAGCCCTTCCGTGGTGGTCACCGCCACCGATTTCTGTCCTCCCAATTCGGGACTGTCCTCTGATTACGGCGGTTGGTGCAACTTCCCCAAGGAACACTTGGAACTATCTCATGCCGCCTTCACAGGGATAGCAGAAACCAGAGCCGAGATGGTACCTGTACAATACAGGAGGGTCATGTGTGGGAGGAGAGGCGGATTAAGATTCAGCTTGAACGGGAGCTCCCACTTCTTCCAGGTGTTGATAAGCAATGTCGGCCTCGACGGGGAAGTGGTGGGAGTGAAAGTGAAGGGCCATACAACGGCTTGGATCACAATGTCCAGAAACTGGGGACAGAACTGGCACTCTTCTATCGATCTCATCGGACAGTCTCTCTCTTTCGAGGTTACTCTCAAAGGCGGCAAAACCATTGCCTCTTACGATGTGGCTCCTCCTTATTGGCGCTTCGGAATGACATACCAAGGAAAGCAATTCCACTCCTGACTCCTCCTTTATCACTTATCATCATCACTTTCGGTGGTCAAAGCATGCTGTGCTTTATTATCATCACTTTGTAAACATTAGATATCATCATCACTTCATTTCAAGGTATAAATGTCTTCCTACGAGTCAAGTGGCCCATGTTTTTGTCTCTCTTTTCTAATTTCTTTTCATATTATATATCCTTCTTCACAATCCTTACTTCGACCTCGTATAGCTGTGTTTGTATATTATATGCTCATGGGTTTTGCATTTACAATCACTACTGCAAGGAAGAATATCCAGTGCAGACAAAATGCAATGTCCCTCCGAATCTCAACATCTCTTTCTTAGTTTCTACAACAGTAATCAATTACTTTATATCAGCTCACTGGCAATCAACCTCACAATACCTGTATATCTCGCATTCTTCCGTCAATAGACACGAAAGAAGAAAAAAGTGATTTGTGTCTGCTGGTTATATATCCCTCAGGTGCTCAGAATGTCAAACTTCATTGCACTTACAACCATCCTATTCTATTCACCCATCATTGGACCCATACATGTATGGAACACGGTGCTTAAGACTTGTGGGACTTGTGAAGAGCTGTGCTCACTCCGCACTAGCTCCACCAACAATGGGAAGAAATTTGGTGCATACTTCTTAAATGAGTCTCTTTTCAGCCCCCTCAGTGCCTTCAGCACTGCAACCACTAGTGGAGATCTTGCTGCCGCTTCTTCCTTTGATGTTGCCCCCATGGGTAGAATCCATTTTTTTGGCTGCCTGGTTTCTTCCAACTCTGAACCCTGAAACAACGTGCATTTCAGGTAAATCTTCAGTAATCGCACACACACTGTAATCAGTTGACACTCTATGTTTAGCTCCATGGACACTCCTGGGTTGTATGTCAGTAGGTCTTGAAGAATATCCAGGTAGTTCTGGTGTGTGTCATTTTCGAAATGAAGCATGGGAGGTTCAGAGAGCTCCAAGACAGAGCATGCTCTCCTCATTTTCTTCTGCAGGATCAAATCAGAATTTAGCTGGTGGGCATGTGATGAAATTGATGAAAGTATCTCCAGTATAACAGTGACGTGAGATGCCAACAGTGACTGCTGATTAATTCGGTAGAGATCGGTCACTACCTGAAAACAGGAGAAAGAGTAGTTAAGAGGGGCGGGAAGAGATCATTATGCTGGAGCAAGGCAAAAGTACACATAAAACATTTCTGAATTCATTTGATAAAAATTTTAATATGTTCTTTTAACAGTTTCATTATTCACATTTTGTACATACCTGGACAACCTGCAACTGGATGGTTATGTGACTCTTTGTTCTTGCAACAACATAAGACATGGTTTGCAGGCTGTCCTCGTCCACGTCATCTTCATTACTAAAGTCCTGATCTGACAATGTTTCCTCATCTGGAACGTCATCCATGGTTCTCAGTGTTTTCATGAAACTAGACAATGTCAATGAAGCCGCTTCTTTCACAGCCAGAAAAATCTCCTTCCACTCATCTTCCGAGAATTTGCCACCCAATTCGTCTGCCAACCGCAGCAATGCTCCAACTTCAGCTACTGTAGGACCCTGAGCTGGGCTTCTTATAAGACCAGCAAGTAAGGATACTACACTTGATAGTTGAGACCTTACCACAGTAAAAAAGCTGACAAATAGGTCTACCAGAGACTGTGCTGCCATAGCTGACGTCTCAGCATCCCAAGAAACTCCACTAGGATGTGGAGAAAATGTAGAGGGAAATGAACTGTGTTCATCTTTAGAAAGCAGATCATTCTCGCCCCACACACTGTTAAATATAGGATAAATAACGGAACTGAAAACGCCGACCCAGAATGTTCGTGAAAAAAGATGACCATGGTCCTTTAAAATATTAAAGAGCACTTCTAAGGAGCTTTTACGGATTGCTGATCTGGAATCAGAAGTTAGCTTAGACAACCCTGCAACAAATACAAATTTTTGATTAGAATGCAGAGAACTTTCCTTTCCTAACCTCGCAGCAAAGCAAATTCAACGAATTAGCAATGGATATGGGAATTCGATACATGTAAGATGCCCATAATCTAATGGATGCATTTTAAACGAGGTATTATTCACAGATTACCTGTGAGCAAAGGAACCCAATATGATATGTTCTCATCTGTATCCATAAAATTTTGGGTATCTGGTGCATGGTCATCTGTTACTGGAGTACCGGGACTGCTGGACCTACCCTTCTCATTCCAAACAAGGCCTCCATCTGCAAGTTTTAGGGCACAAAATCGTAGAAATGCGATAGCGTTCAGGCTAACATCGCTGGTGAATTTGCTGTTTGTGAACGTTATGAGGCATCTAACACAATCAGTAAAGGTTGTTGCCTCAGTCTCTGTGATATATGAAAAATACTCTCTGACAATTTTTTCCATTGTCTCAAAGGCCAACAGTACAATGTTCTTCCTTTCATCCGCTGCTGCGGTTGTGAAAACCTGAAAGGAAATGGCTACTCAGTAAAACAAGTTGACAACTAGAGCATGTCTTCAATAAGAAAAGAAAAGGAAAACAAATGCAGATGAACTACTCAGCATAGTATCTTGGGTTGAGCGTTTTTCCTCTTAACCTGAAGTTTAATCTTATATACTCACATACAGGCGGATGCTAAGAAAACATTATGTACCTTGAAAACACTTTTCCACCCTGATTTTACATTACTGACACGGCTGAGTACCATTTGAGAAATGCACCGAACTATTAGTTCTCTTATTTCAGCAGAGCTGCTTTTTTGCATAACAATGACAAATGGTCGAAGAAATTCATTCTGAAAGTTGTAATTAGCCAGCTCCTCACGTTCCAAGAACTTCATAGAAAGCTGTCGTAGTGAGTCCATAACGAATATTGCAACAGAAAGATTCTCCGACAAGCCAACAGATACAAAAAAATCTGACAGGATGCTCCATATGCGAGACCAAACTAGCCTGATGCGGTTCATGTTGTAGTGGCTGTACAGAAAGAAATGAGATATGTAAGTTCGTGAGTTGACCTTCTTAGACTCTCATCATGCTAACTTTATGTCCAATTCAGTAGCCAAGATGAGATGTATTAAGCATGTCCATATCTCATTCTATGTGTTCTAAAGAAAGTATCAAAAGAAGGAACTCTTACGCGATCTCAACTAATTTTGTGAGGCTAAATACTCGAGGATCAGTAGGAGACTGCAGTTCTGACATAGATACTTTGCATAGAGCTTTAACAAATGCTACTATGGCTTCAGTCTTCAACCGCTGGCTATGAGCATAAACATTATTCAACTGAAAACTCCCGATCTGGTCAAGCAAATTCAAGTTTGCAATGAAGTTATTGATTTGGTCCTGCTTTACAAGCCCCGAAATATTTGGTCCAATTGCACTGCTATCATATGAGCCCCCTCGAACAACAGCCATCATCACCGGATTCTGGAGGGCTCCTTTTTTCTTCAAGTTAGGAAACCCCAAGGCTTTCTTCTCTTCCGTCTCGGAAGAAGCAAAATAAGATGCATCACTTGGAGCACCCTCGCCCAATAATTGCAAATGCTCTATTCTAGAAAGACAAGTCAAAATATGCTCCCATGCATCTTGCAAGTGATTACCATCCTCAATGGCAATTAATATGATGGCCTGAATAACATAAGAAACAAATAATGAATTTATGAAGAGGTCAATCACGCATGCTTCTCTCCATAAAGGGAGGAGAACTTTACACTACAGAAAAATACATAAATAAACAGTAGGGCAGAAAACTAAAACACATGAGATATTCAGGTTAGTATGCCTCAAAATGCTTACTCTCTGTTCAGATACCTTAAAAACCAGATGTGAGGAAGCAAATACAGAGAGAAACAACTGCATTCATTCTGAAACGATTTCATAAGAAGAAACTTACTTTAACAGCATCAACATTCTTTTGCTTCATATCTCCTGCACAATGGAGATTTGTGAACTTGGCTATGGAAGTGACAAAGGCATCTCTTTGCGTTTGCATACCCATAACTGCTGTAATATGAACGGCATATCGAAAGCCTCGTAAGCATTCAACTGCAGCAAGCCTGTCATCACTCTGATCAAGTGTCACGCTGAATGCGGCAAGCATTGGTCCCCATGAAACTTCAACCATAAAACGCACTATTGCAACGTCGGTTACGACATGGTAAGCTGATCTACAAGATCGGAAAAAGAATCCAATTCATGAGATCAATGTTTATGATAACAGAATCCTAACATTCGTCCACTATATTTGTCAACTTTAATCTTTGTTGAAAGATAGTTTCTCAGGTATAGACAGTTGCAGAGACAAATGTGAGCAAGGTTAAAGGGTAAATATTGCTTATTAACGTTCAAAAAAATCTAGTTTGCTAATTTTGCAGGTTACCTGACTCGCTCAGCAGCATTATACTAAGAACAATCACTCGATAAAATCCTTACATTTGAAAACAATTTTCTAATAACTAATACATAGTGCTATAGCCTCCAGCCACTTCCTCCAAAAGAGCCTAAGCACCTAATTTCACACTAGACCTTAAGTATGATAAATGAGCTTACTCTGATTTTCCAGACTTCGACCTGAACTTTTCTTGAATATGCTTTATAAGAAGACCATTAGCCCCAACTGCCTTTTCTTCGGTCTGTGTCCAATAAACCAAATTGAGTATACCGTCCAGACCCAGTAGTTTATTCAGGCCATTGGACTGCCTGCTTTCTGGGGCAGAAGAATCAGAACTCATCTTTATTTCATTTATGACAACTTGGTCATAAAGCGCACCAAGATACTCTTCTGGTAGATCTTTGCCATCATCAATGCCTCGGTTATTTCTGATAAAATCACCTTTGGTCATCTGATGAATGTCATAAACCAGAAAAGGAGACATAAACGTACACTGTAAATACTGTATATCAGAAAAGCAATCTCTAATATAGATTATTTCAAAAACAGTTTCTGGCAACAGAAGTAACCAGAAAAGTTAACTCATGCATATGCAGTCCAAAAGCTAACCTGTCACGGATTGAATAAATGGTGACAGCCAAGAAAACAAACCTTCTCTTTCACCATGATATTGTGGGCATCAGTGTTAAGCATTATCACAGAGTATGCAAGAACATATGCTGTGTCAGCACTGCTGAATGAATTTGGATTGCATTTGCAAAAGCGTTCAGCAAACTTTTCCATTATGCGGTCAATTTTCTGTGCTTCCCCAGGAAGCCTGAACCCCCTTAAGAAAAACCTAATTGCCTCACCAAAATTCATCTCCTTGAAATCGAATGAGTCCACGTAGGCATGCATAACTTTCATTGGAAACTCCTCTCTTTCACCCAAATAATCACCAATCATGGTAGCATTCAATCCTGTGGTATTCCTCAGGAATGACACCACCTCATCCGGGGAGTTGCCAACCTTTTTAGAGGTTATAAGAAACTCAATACCCTTTGAAGGCTTTCTATTGAATAGAGTGATGCCTTTCTGCACATACACCAAGAAAGATGATAAAAGAAACCTTAACATCACCGAAGAGAAAAATAATTATATTAATATCACCATATGGGATGGACAATCTTATAATTCTTAATGACATAAGACCTGGAGTTCAATTTTGTATGCCCTCCTTTGTTCAAGAGTTGCAGCGTCTGATGACTCTGAACTCAAATCTGGGTGAAAGTCATGATCTATAGTTATCCCATCTTCTTCATTTGGGCTTGGATGATGGTCTGCAGGTGCTTCATTTTCTAAGCTCTTCGGCAGAAGTAATTCTCCCATTCTCAATTGTTGGTCCATCCATGTTCCCATTGCCTTAATAATGCTAACCAAACACTTCACTGATTCATGCCGAAAAGTAATATCCTGGACTGGGGACAAAGTTGTCGACGAACCAGGAGGAGGCCCTAAAGCAGTTTTTAGAAGACCGTTGACAATCCTGCAAACATCTGATAGAATTATAAGAGCTTAATACATTATACTAAAGTACAAAACCACTAGTAGAATACAAATATGAACAGCGTGGGTCACCCTGCTTCCCGATCTGATCTCTAAATCTTTTCAGCTAAAAATTGCAATCTGACAACATCTGGAATGCTATTCTGGAAACAGACCTCAGACATAAATAAAAAATTGCAAATACCTTTCGAAGATGTTTGGTGACTCCAGATCACAGTCAAAGTTGACAAATATGTCAATGATTAGATTTGGGTCGTGGCAGATGTTCTCAAGTAAGCTTAGCACGGTCATTTTCTGCAGGAAACTGGGCTGAAGAACATTTTCAAGGACTCGGAGGACAAGCATCGGGAAGAATATGCCTACTTCTGATTTCAAGCCCGATCTATATTTCCGCAACAATGTGGTGAAGATAGCACATTGAAGTTGAAAAATAGACATAACCGAGAGTGCGCTATTCTTCAACAGAGACAAGCAAAGATACTGCTTAATGGCATTTAGAAACCTGCATATTTTGGGGAGGGAGAGTTAGCTCTTGGATTCTATGTCATACTGAGAGACGAATAGCAAATGCTGCATTAGATAGAGAAATGTAACCTGCGAAATGGAAAGATAAAACTTGCCTTTCGTCATAGCGCCAAATTGGGCCACCGTTATCAATGACGACTTTGAGCAACTCTAGAGACAAAGTCTTGCCTCTCACAAGAATCTGATCGTCGGTGTTCTCTTGTGACGAGAACTTCATAGACAACTTACACAGGTTTTTGAACAGAAGGAATCCGTCTTCCCTGATCTTGCTACTGCACCCATCCTCAGTTGAAGCATCTTCTTCTGGTGGTTCGCCCTGCAAGACTAGCATGAAATCAGGAGGAGGAGCTGCTTCCCCGGCCGTGATAACGTCGTTGATGAAACCCTGACATATATGAACAGAGTTCCCTTCGTTGACATTCTTATCTGTGATGGCCAGCAAGTCGTTGACATTAACCGTTTTGAGCGATGCATCCATAGAATTCGCCTCGGATCTGGTGAAGACGATGAGCATGATCTGAGCCAACACAGATTTAGCGCAGATCTGGTTGGTCCCGTTAAATCCGCCGAGATACACATTGTAGCAAGTCCTGACTAGATGGAGCAAACAATCGCCACGGATCAGGATGCAAGGACATCTGACGGCGGCGAGGAGGACGCGAAGGACGGCCAGCTCAATGGACTCCTCGCCGATGCCGCAAACCTTGCAGATCGCGTGGATGAGCTTGTAGAGAAGAGAATCAGGAGAAGAGGAGCAGACCTCGCCCCGGAGGAGGGAGAGAGAGAAGAGCTTGGAAGCGCAATCGAGAGCAGGCTCAATAACCTTGGCGTAGCCAGTATCAAGAGAGAGAAGGAGAGGCTGAAGGACGTCATCTGAATCGGAGGTGGAGAGACCGAAGAGAGGCGATGAAGGATCGGGAGAATCGGAGAGAGTCTCAAGCTTGTCCAGGACAGACTTACAGGCGGACACAAGGAAGGTGTGCTTGCGCCACGCGGCATTTTTGATGATCTTGTCTAGAGATGGCCCAATCACCCGGCCGCATCTGGTGGCGCCACCAAGGTTCTGCGACGACGACATCACCGACGGATCTAACACACATTCGGCGACGATTCAAAAGGATATAGACCAACCCAGAAAGAACCGGGGCACTTGTATTTTTTTTTCTTCTTTTTACGGCGTTGGAAAAACGAAACGCTGCGTTTCTTCATAACACAATTTGGTATTTGTTTTTCGTTTTCGGTATAATAATTTTGTATTTGTTTAATTATTCTAACCAAGAAGTAAATACAGAAAATGTAACTTTATATATATAGAAACCAAAAGTAGATTACTGTGTATTGGGAGAGTAGAAATAATCTTTTACTATCAAAGAAAAATAAGTCTATGACAGTTGGATGTTCAAAATGTAGTAACACTAACATATGCACATGACTGGGCAAAGATAAATACGAGATCAGATTCCTTCTATTATTCTACTACAGGAAGATGGGAAAAGCCTAATCAGGGATATATAAAAGTCAACTATGTTTGTCGTCTCGTTCAAAATGGCCAATCTTCAAAGGCTGCTTAGATTTTAAGAGATGCGGATGGATTCTTCCGTAAAGCAATAACAAGTATTGGCGGTTTATGTACTAACTCATTGGAAGCAGAACTACAAGCTTTATTGATGTCAATGCAGCATGTTTGGAGCAAAAGATTTAAGAACGTGGTGTTTGAAGGTGACTAAATATCAGTTCAAATACTTCTAAATGGGTAGCAGAAAAATTTTAGACTTCACAATTAGGTGCGAGAGATCAAATTATGGCAGACAGTTTAATTCTGCTCACCTCCAGTGGAGAGATATAACAAGGTTGCTGATCGGTTGGTTAAAGAGAACTTTCATAATAACCCTTTGTTAGAGCAACATTATCAAGGAGATCTTAATTTTTAATCTTATGATTAATTTATTATTAAATTTGAAAAAAAATAAATGTTAAGAGTTGTATTTTTGTTTTTAGTTTTGAGATGTCTTTATTGGTAGGATCTTAAGTTGGAGATCTTAGCAAAAAATAATTTTTTAAAAAATTAAATAAAATTAAAATATGTAATTTTAGAAACTTTTATAATTATTGCAAATTTATAATTTTAAACATATATGAGATACAATTTATAAGATAAATAACATAAACCACAATAGTTTTAAACTTGATTTCTAGAAAATTTTGTCCTTATAGTCATTTTGTACATTGAAGAGGGTATTTTTGAAAATGAACACCTAGAGAGGATACTTGTGGAAAAGGGTATCATAAAAAGGTTAGTTGTGCAAATCTCCCATTTGAGAATGAGTAAAAAACAACATATCTTACAAATTTTTTCAAATGTTTATTAGACCTTCCAAGAGTCTTAAGAAACCAAATTAGTTTATAACCATTTTTTAAAAACTTTTATTGGATGGTATTGGTAGGTTGATACTGGCATAACAAGAATAACATTTACAAAAAGTTAAGACAATATAAAATACATTAAATTAAAAGGTCCTAAATAGTTCCATTGTTTTAATTTTTTAAATTAAAATATTAAAGCATGAAACAAGAAAATGGATTTTCGAAAGAAATTAAAAGATAAATGTTGAATAAGAACACATAACAAAAAAAAAAAAAAAAAAAAGCCTTCCACCAATCGTCCATTGACACATGTCGTATCTTAGCCACAATTTTAGATCTTAATTAAGATCCAGATCTTAGCATAAATCATCATTTACCATTTAAATTAAATCAAAAAGTACAAAATATTAAGCTAAGAATGAGCTAAGATCTCATTGATAATGTTGGTCTTACTTTTATTATGTGCCTCAATTTCTTGTACCTATCCGCCATGAGGATCACATTACAAGTTTTTAATAAAAGCATATGTTAAAAAAAATAACCAAGAAAAAAAAAATTGTGCTCTCCAAAGGACACGACATCGTAGACAACCTTTTTATAGAGACAACTTTATGCTATATCCTCCAGCCGGCGTCGACTCCAACGTCGGCCATACTAGTTTTCGTTTATCTTTCTTTTGTAGTTTAAGTTTTTTAACTCAATCTCAATCGGAAAAGCGATTGCTTAAATATTTATCACCAATTAGTCTTGCTTGTCCCCTTATATGGCATAAATGGTTTCATATGGCAGCGCAAGAGATTGGTTTTTGGTGATATGTTTATCTAGTAGCATATGATGGTGATCTGGACATGATGATGTATTGTTTAACAAATACATGGTTTTGTTTATCTCAATTGTAGGCCTCTACAACAATGGTCGATGCGACAGTTTGATTTTTGCTGCCAGAGTTTTCGTTCCTCTCCACAGAGGCGTTGTCCGTGCAATGATGTTGTGGTTCATTCACGGTGTTCTTCCCGGTATATCCGGCCTTATCGATATAACAACAATAATTGTTAACAATGTCTTGATGCAAAATTACAGCTTTCGGCGTATATGGGATCCCATAATTACATCGGAGGCATTTATCATGAAGATTTCCAACAACATCTTTGGTGTGAGATGTATAATAATAGGCTGTGATTGCACCCATACCATGCCAAACTTTATGATGTGCACAATGACACCATATGGACTAATTGGTATTGGATTGTCGGGATTTCAAAACTTATTCTAGAAGTAACGGGTTTCTTCTATGTGATGTGGAGTTTCAAACAAAGAATGCCAATAAGGCATACATATCACATTCATGTAAGATAGCTTATGAGGAAGGAGCATCACATGTTTGATAACATGAGAGCGAGTAAGGCTTATCGAGGTAGCATCGTCAAATTCACTTCTTAGTGTTTGTTATCTTCCGTTAATGACACATAATTCTGTTTATGTAATAAATTGTTTTCTATATTTTTGTATTGGCTTTATACTTGATGTAATACCAATTCGTTTAATGAAAGATTTTAGAAGGAAACAAAAAACCCCAATTTAGTTTGTCCACAAAAAAAAATAAAAAAAAAAATAGAGCTGATATACAAAGATAACAGCTAAAAGGAAATGTTAATATATGCCTCGGATTCATCTTCTTTTTAATGGCATTGTACGTATTCTCTCAAGAGGCATCACGTTACAATAAATCTAAACTTTTCTAATTAACAAGCTCTTTGCCTTTCCGTTTCAAAGAAATAGGGGGAATGAGCTGATATGATATACAAAGGATGTTTTTAACACATGCACCCACTACTTCACCAACTAAACCACCAAGCCGCAAGAATAAAAAACATTTAACACACCATTCTGTTCAAACACCTTCACAAGCACATTCTCCAAGCTATAGGGGTTATTTCAATCTCAAAAACTGAGAGGCAAAGATGCTTATCATTTAAAACACAAAAAAAAAAAATTGACTCTCTTTGAAATCTTTTTTTTTTCTCGTGTTACGAGAAATTAGGGAAAGAAAAATGGGCAAAACGTTTCAAGCTTTTATGTTCCCATAGTTTGCTTTGTGTGTTCATATGACTCCGTACTTGCATCTAGCCAACAAATTAGCTGAGAATAATCACATGGTTACTTTCTTGCTATCTAAAAAGCTCAGAAACAGTTGGAACATCACAATCAGCTCCCTGACAGCATCGTCTTTCACCCTCTTACAATTCCTCATGTTGATGGGCTCCCTGCCGAGACCGCCTAAGACATCCCCATCTCGTTGGGGAAGTTTCTGACCGCAGCCATGGATCTCACACACATTCAGGTCGAAGCTGCCGTTCGTGTATTTAGTATTAAGATTTTCACATTTTAAATAGTAACCATCGAGAAATTATAACTTATAGCTGCAGGAACAAAATTCTTTCAAACGATTAAAGATCACTTATTTTAATGCAGTTAACTAAAAATAATATTATGGGCTATGCCTATAAAATATAAATGCCTTAATCATTAAAAAATTGCGTACAAAATTTTCCATCCTTAATTATAAGTGAAGAACAAATAATTGGTTTTCACAATAAAATAAATTAAACGAAAGAGAAAAACGCTAATTATCCCAAAATAGCATAAAACAACTAAACCTTTGAGCTTCCAAAAATAGGTTGGTGCATAATAAGCCCAAATTAAAATAGAGATCCATGGCACAGACGACTAGCTTCATGTCCTGATAATCCTCTCCTCCTCATCTTTTCTCTTTTGTCATCCCAAAACCATCAGGAACGTAAAAACTCATGTTTCATCTTTGTATTGCATGATCACATTGATTCACGCAGAAACCAAGCTCCTTTGTTTGGCTTCACAATGGCGTCCACGCCTCCTCAAAATTCTAAGAAGGTCCGAAACAATTCCGGTAGTGGCCAAACTGTCAAATTTGCAAGACGAACATCTAGCGGACGATATGTGAGTTTATCTCGAGATAATATTGAATTATCGGGAGAACTCTCTGGGGATTATTCCAATTATACGGTGCACATACCTCCGACGCCGGACAACCAGCCCATGGCAACCAAAGCCGAAGAGCAATACGTGTCCAATTCTTTATTTACTGGTGGTTTCAACAGTGTAACACGTGCACATCTTATGGACAAAGTCATCGATTCAGATGTGACACACCCTCAGATGGCTGGCGCCAAAGGCTCTTCGTGCGCTATGCCTGCTTGCGACGGAAAAGTCATGAAAGACGAGAGAGGAAAGGACGTGATGCCATGTGAATGCCGGTATCTATCTTAATAAATAAAGTGTATATATATATGATATTTATAGGAAACAACATGGATGGACGATAATGCCCAAGAATACTAACATACATGCATGGTGTTTGCATTAATTAGGTTCAAGATATGTAGAGATTGCTTCATGGACGCCCAGAAAGAGACAGGTCTTTGTCCAGGATGCAAGGAGCAATACAAAATCGGGGACATGGATGATGATACGCCTGACTTTTCTAGTGGTGCTCTCCCCTTACCAGCTCCAGGAAAAGATCAACGTGGCAACAACAACAACATGTCTATGATGAAGAGGAACCAAAACGGCGAATTTGATCACAACAAATGGTTATTTGAGACGCAAGGCACATATGGTTATGGTAATGCGTATTGGCCTCAAGATGAAATGTATGCGGATGATATGGATGAAGGAATGAGAGGCGGCATGGTGGAAACAGCTGACAAACCATGGCGGCCACTAAGCCGACGCATCCCGATCCCAGCCGCCATCATAAGTCCGTACAGATTATTAATCGCCATTCGTTTCGTCGTGCTATGTTTTTTTCTAACTTGGAGAATCCGAAACCCTAACGAAGACGCAATATGGTTATGGCTCATGTCAATTGTATGCGAGCTTTGGTTTGGATTTTCATGGATTCTAGACCAGATCCCTAAGTTGTGTCCCATAAACCGGTCCACTGACTTGGAAGTTCTTCGTGACAAATTTGACATGCCTTCTCCCTCAAACCCCACAGGGAGGTCCGATCTCCCAGGTATTGACCTTTTCGTGTCAACGGCAGATCCAGAGAAAGAGCCACCCCTTGTCACCGCCAACACTATTCTTTCCATACTCGCCGTTGACTATCCAGTGGAGAAGGTTTCATGCTATCTTTCTGATGATGGAGGAGCCCTTCTATCATTTGAGGCCATGGCAGAAGCTGCTAGCTTTGCTGATCTTTGGGTCCCCTTTTGTCGCAAACATAACATTGAACCCCGGAATCCAGATACTTATTTCAGTTTGAAGATTGATCCAACCAAAAATAAGAGCAGAATTGATTTTGTCAAGGACAGGAGGAAGATTAAGAGGGAGTATGATGAGTTCAAGGTTCGCATCAACGGCCTTCCTGACTCAATACGGAGGAGATCAGATGCGTTTAATGCAAGGGAGGAAATGAAGGCTCTAAAACATATGAGGGAGAGCGGAGGTGATCCAACTGAACCTGTAAAAGTCGCGAAAGCCACGTGGATGGCCGATGGCACCCACTGGCCAGGAACTTGGGCAGCTGCTACTCGAGAGCACTCCAAAGGTGATCATGCCGGGATTCTGCAGGTGATGTTGAAACCACCTAGTAGCGACCCTTTAATTGGCAATAGCGACGACAAAATCATAGATTTTTCAGATACGGACACTCGTTTACCCATGTTTGTGTATGTGTCACGTGAGAAGCGACCAGGCTATGATCACAACAAGAAAGCTGGAGCCATGAATGCACTTGTTCGTGCCTCTGCTATTCTCTCAAATGGACCTTTCATCCTTAATCTTGATTGTGATCACTACATCTATAATTGCAAGGCCATCCGGGAAGGGATGTGTTTTATGATGGATAGAGGTGGTGAAGACATTTGCTATATTCAGTTTCCGCAAAGATTTGAAGGCATCGATCCTTCTGATAGATATGCTAACAATAACACTGTCTTCTTTGACGGTAATATGCGTGCCCTTGATGGTGTCCAGGTAAATAAATATATAGTATTACAACATTTTTAATTTTTTTTTTTTTTTTTAAAATATATATAAAAATACGTAGATTTCTATTATTCACTAACAATTTTTTTATTATTTATTCAGGGACCAGTTTATGTTGGAACAGGTACTATGTTTAGACGCTTTGCTCTCTACGGTTTTGACCCACCTAATCCGGACAAGCTTCTAGAGAAGAAGGAATCAGAAACAGAGGCCCTAACCACTAGTGACTTTGACCCGGACCTTGATGTCACACAACTCCCTAAGCGCTTTGGCAACTCCACACTCCTAGCTGAGTCAATTCCTATTGCAGAGTTCCAAGGTCGCCCGTTGGCAGACCACCCTGCAGTGAAGTACGGTCGTCCTCCGGGAGCGCTTAGAGTCCCTCGTGACCCACTTGATGCTACCACTGTGGCAGAGTCTGTTTCTGTAATCTCATGTTGGTATGAGGATAAAACAGAGTGGGGAGATAGAGTGGGATGGATTTATGGGTCGGTGACAGAGGACGTGGTCACAGGATACCGCATGCATAATCGTGGGTGGCGATCCGTTTACTGCATCACCAAGCGAGATTCTTTTCGAGGCTCTGCACCCATAAATCTTACAGACCGTCTTCACCAGGTGTTGCGATGGGCCACGGGGTCCGTTGAGATATTCTTCTCAAGAAACAACGCCATTCTCGCGTCCAATCGTCTCAAGTTCCTCCAACGTCTCGCGTACCTCAATGTTGGAATATATCCCTTTACCTCTTTGTTTCTCATCCTCTACTGCTTTCTTCCGGCATTCTCTCTTTTCTCTGGGCAGTTCATCGTGCGGACGCTTAGTATCTCCTTCTTAGTATACCTCCTTATAATCACCATTTGTTTAATTGGCTTGGCGGTCTTGGAAGTCAAGTGGTCTGGCATTGGCCTCGAAGAATGGTGGAGAAATGAACAGTGGTGGCTTATATCTGGAACAAGCTCTCACCTTTATGCTGTTGTCCAAGGAATCCTCAAAGTGATTGCAGGGATCGAGATCTCCTTTACCTTGACGACCAAGTCAGGGGGAGATGACAATGATGACATATACGCCGATTTGTACATAGTAAAATGGTCGTCGCTGATGATACCGCCGATAGTGATAGCGATGGTGAACATAATAGCGATTGTGGTAGCGTTCATCAGGACGATATACCAAGCAGTGCCACAGTGGAGCAAGCTAATCGGAGGAGCATTTTTCAGCTTCTGGGTGTTGGCTCATTTGTATCCATTTGCAAAAGGATTGATGGGACGGAGAGGCAAAACTCCAACGATCGTTTTTGTGTGGGCAGGTCTAATTGCCATCACTATATCTCTTCTGTGGACGGCCATTAACCCAAACACGGGACCTGCTGCTGCTGCTGAGGGTGTTGGAGGCGGTGGTTTCCAATTCCCGTAAAACATTACATATATAGCGATCGAGAGTTTGAGTTTTGTAGACTAAGTCGCAAGAAAATATAACTCACTATCTTTTTATTTCCTAATTTTTGTTTTCTTGTTTTGTTTCTGGTAGTAAAATTTCATACAACAATGATCTGGACTGAGATTTCATGATTGTACAATGCTAGCTTGAATCATAATTTCGATTTTCGATTTTAAAAGGCATCACCACTCTTTGACCATGTGTTACTTACTGTCATACACACAACTGGATAATCGATACGGGCCGCGCAGAAGAAGTTGGGCCTTATAAAGTAAATGAAGAAATGGGCCTTGCTTACATGGAAGAAAGAAAAGGGGGAAAAAATAAATCAGAAGCACGAGCTTCGTCTCTCTTGCTCCTCCGTGTCCGACGACTCCTCTCGTGTGGGTGTCTTCTCCCTCCTCGTCCTCCATCGCCTCTCTTCATCACTCCCACCTCAAACCATTAATTTATTATAAAACTTGCCCTTTCTCGTCTCTTCCCCGCACGAACCCTCCCTCGGGACTGTAAGTGGGTTTCCATCTAGCAATTTCCTCCGCCTGAAATAAATAGATCATAAAACCCTTCATTCTTCCATAAGACAGGAGGATAATGATGGATAATGAAGTGCTCGACTTCGATATCGGTGTAGGCGTTAGTAGTGGGGGAGATGTTGATGACGACGCTATTGATATTGAGCACCATGCTCTCGACGACGATGATATGCTCGACAGCCCAATTATGCCTTGTGGTATCTCTCTAGGCAATTCTGGAAATTACTTTCCCAGTCAGGAGGAGGGTTGTGATCTCCTGGATCTCGAACCTTATGATGGTCTTGAATTCGAGTCCGAAGAAGCTGCCAAGTCTTTCTACAACTCCTATGCCCGTCGCATTGGCTTTAGTACCCGCGTCAGTTCCTCCCGCCGCTCTCGCCGAGATGGAGCCATCATCCAGAGGCAATTCGTTTGTGCCAAAGAAGGTTTCAGGAATATGAACGAAAAGCGCACCAAGGACAGAGAGATCAAGCGTCCGAGGACCATCACTAGAGTTGGTTGCAAAGCCTCCCTCTCTGTTAAGATGCACGATTCTGGTAAATGGCTTGTCTCTGGCTTTGTCAAAGAGCACAACCATGACCTGGTTCCTCCCGACCAAGTTCACTGTCTGCGTTCTCACAGGCAGATTTCTGGTCCTGCCAAGACCTTGATTGACACACTTCAAGCTGCAGGAATGGGTCCCCGCAGGATTATGTCCGCCCTCATCAAAGAGTACGGTGGCATCAGCAAGGTTGGCTTCACCGAAGTGGACTGTAGGAATTATATGAGGAACAATCGGCAGAAGAGCATAGAAGGAGAGATTCAGCTTCTTCTTGACTACTTGAGGCAGATGAATGCCGACAACCCAAACTTCTTTTATGCTGTTCAAGGAGCCGAAGATCAGTCTGTCGGTAATGTCTTCTGGGCTGATCCTAAAGCTAGATTGGATTTTTCTTTCTTTGGGGATACTGTCACATTTGATACAACCTACAGGTCCAACAGGTACCGTTTGCCTTTCGCACCCTTCACTGGTGTAAACCACCATGGCCAACCCATTCTTTTCGGCTGTGCCTTTATCATCAATGAAACCGAGGCTTCCTTTGTATGGCTTTTCAATACATGGCTAGCGGCGATGTCTGCCCACCCTCCTGTCTCAATCACCACCGACCATGATGCGGTTATACGTGCAGCCATCATGCAGGTTTTCCCAAGCGCCCGCCATCGCTTTTGCAAATGGCATATTTTCAAGAAATGTCAGGAGAAGCTGTCGCATGTCTTCCTCAATCATCCTTCTTTTGAGTCAGATTTCCACAAATGTGTCAATCTGACAGAGTCAGTTGACGATTTTGAGTCATGTTGGTTTTCACTTCTTGACAAGTATGAGCTAAGAGAGCATGAGTGGCTACAAGCAATGTACTCCGATCGCCGGCAGTGGGTCCCAGTTTATCTCCGTGATACCTTTTTTGCCGAAATGTCCTTAACGCAGCGTAGTGACAGTATAAATTCGTATTTTGATGGTTATATAAATGCTTCAACCAATCTTAGCCAGTTCTTTAAGCTGTACGAAAAAGCTTTGGAGAGTCGGCTGGAGAAAGAAGTTAAAGCAGATTATGATACAATGAACTCACCTCCTGTTCTTAAGACTCCATCTCCAATGGAGAAGCAGGCGTCTGAACTTTATACAAGGAAGTTGTTTATCAGGTTTCAGGAAGAACTAGTTGGAACCCTGACTTTTATGGCGTCCAAAGCTGACGATGATGGTGATCTTGTTACCTATCAGGTTGCAAAATATGGAGAGGCTCACAAGGCTCATTTCGTTAAGTTCAACGTTTTGGAGATGAGAGCAAATTGTAGTTGCCAGATGTTTGAGTTCTCTGGCATCATTTGCAGACATATATTGGCAGTCTTCCGGGTCACCAATCTCCTTACGCTACCACCTTATTACATTCTCAAAAGATGGACCAGAAATGCCAAAAGCAGCGTTATATTCGATGATTATAATTTGCATGCATATGCTAATTACCTGGAGTCTCATACCGTTCGATACAACACCTTACGTCACAAAGCTTCTAATTTTGTGCAAGAAGCAGGAAAATCTCTTTATACTTGTGATGTTGCAGTAGTTGCTTTGCAAGAAGCTGCCAAGACTGTATCGTTAGCAATGAATAAGGAAGTTAGAAGAACTATGGTGAACGGGCACTTAAAAGAAAGTTCTGTAACTGATGGAAAACAGATGTGTTGCAGTGAAGACTGTCAGCAAGAGGCGCTGGCTCAACAACAGCCTGAGGTGAGACTCTTTTTCTTTTCGAGACTTGTTTTCTTTGGTAAAAAATTAATCAAGTTCGTTGCTCTAAAAAACGTTCTGAATCTTAAGTATGTTTTTTTGGTTTTGCCCATTACAATCACTGTTTTGTCTCCTCGATGGTACCGTTTGCAATTGCTATATTAGTGTTTGACTATTGTGCTCGTGATTCACACATCAGTCTTAATCTTTACCTGTTAAAGAGTATGGTCTTCACTTTTTCAAGCCTTTGTTCCGTGCTATCTCTCATAAATCTGCAAGGTCCTCTGTTTTTTTGCTATGTGCTCTACTGCTGACAAATTGTATCATTCATCATATTTCCTCCAACCTTTCAGGACGAAATGGACAAGAAGATTAATCAACTCAGAAACGAGCTGGAATTATCAAACAGGAAATGTGAAGCTTACAGGACTAACCTACTTTCAGTTTTGAAAGAAATGGAGGATCACAAGTTGCAAGTGTCCATCAAAGTGCAGAACATTAAAATTAGCTTGAAGGATAATCTGTGAAATAAGCATCAAGTTCCTACTGCTTTCCTCATCTATTAATTTTTTTTTTTTGGCTTATCATCGGATTGTTCATGTACAATATCTTAGCCTTCTTAAAAGAGGGACCCAATTTTCAGGATTTCTCAGTTACAATAGGTAGCCTTTGCAATGGATTGTACTCCCGATCATTTCTTAATGAGTAAGAGACGAAGTTGATTCCCATAAATGTTGGCAATGCCAACCCGCATACAACTGTGATGTTATGTATCCATCACGTACCACTCACTCTTTCAAGCTTAGTCTAGCATTTTGTACCTTGAGGGATAGCTGAAACTTCTGTTCTTCCATATCTCTCAAGATAGACAGTAGGTTTGTTCGATAAACTTTGCATCGCTGGCCTGTCCTCTCCAATTCGGTTGTCAGTTCAAGTATCGTCCTCTCCTTTTCACCCTACATTGAAGTAAGTACTTATTCAGTTATTCCCAGGGAACAGAGGACATCAGTGTTGTGCCATACAACTATTGCGTAACAATAGATACATTCGCTTACCCCTGGATGATTCATTGCAGTTGAAGTTTCTCGAGCTTCCTCAGACGGGAAAGAATCCCTGTTGGGAAAGGTAGTTCCAGGTGTTGCTCCTCTAAATTTGTTACTTGCAGCAGCAACCTTCTTAGCAGCGTCATCCAAGGCATCCATTGCAACTTTATAAATCTGAATAGATTTGGCACCGTCCTCCACATACTTGGTTGCTTCTCGGCGTAGATTGTTGTAGCAGACAGTTAAAGATTCTTGACAACTGTTGGAAAACTCGGGTTGTTCCTCAGGGTCTCTAGTCTTTGCTGCTTTGGTCCACCGCCTCAGTAGATACCGAGATGGAAGAGTATAAACGTTATTAGCTCTGAACACGGCCAATATGTGTCTACAAATAATCCCTGAATACTCAAACATTTGACAGCTGCAGTTAGCTTTCACCTCAAGAGAGTCAAAATTGATAGTATGACCTTTGTGAACTTCTCCGAACTTAGCCACTCGATAAGTGGTGTGAGTTCCTGTATCACTAATCCTATTTGCAGGATTTGCAAGGGTCTCAACAAACTCCTCCTGGAACTTGATGAACGCTGCCCTTGTATACAGGCTAGCAGCTTGCTTTTCCATGGGAGAGGGCGTCTTCATAATTGGAGTAGAGTTAGTTGCTTCATAATCTGCTTTCAGTTCTTTCTCACGCCAAGTATCAATTGCTTTCTCATACTGTTTTATGAGCATTTGCATCGTAGTTGATGCGTCGACGAACCCTTGGAAGAATGAGTTCAAAATGCTGCTTCCTTCATTTGTAGACAGCTCTCCGTAAAAGGTGTCTCGGATGAAAACACGGACCCATTGTTGCCTAGCATTGTAAATGGATTGGAGCCAGTCGTTATCCTGTAGATAATATCTTCTGACGATAGAGTCCCAAGATGCCTCAAACTCAGCAGCCGTTTTTGTCTCAGTAACGCAATTTATAAATTCGGATTCAAAGGTAGGATGAGACTGATAGACGTGAGCAAGTTTCTGCTCAGTTTCCTTGAAGATAAGGGGCTGGCTGAAACGAAGGCGGGTCTGACCGAAAACTTGAGAAACAGCAACCTGTATCAGCCGATCTGGTTCAACTGTAATAGAAGGAGGAGCGGGAGCAGACATTGCTTGAAGCCAAGTCTGGAAAAGCCACCCGAAGGAGGACTCAGACTCGTTGAGTATGAGAGCACAACCAAAAAGAACAGGCTGCCCATGATGGTTAAACCCGGTGAAGGCAGCAAATGGCACTTGATACCTCTTACCCGTCCTGTAGCTGGTGTCAAATACTACGGTATCACCAAAGTAGGTATAATTCAACCGGCAAGTTGGATCCGCCCAAAAAACATTTCCACAGTCGTCCTCCATTGCATACAAGAAACCAGGATTCTCGAGCTGCCTACGTTTCAGATAGTTCAATACATGCTCGACCCCGCTTCCCAGGGTCCTCTCGCGCTCCACACTCATCCTTTCTTCCTCCTTATGCTGCCACAATCATCAACAGTTTTTCATCCGAAACGCAAGGTCTTGGGTATCACAAGGAACAAATTGCAGAAGCGAATGACAAATCAGTTCTGGAAAGAGAAAGTAGATACCTGCGATGCCCTTCACAGGATATTTTCACTCCCTTTTCCGGTCTAGGTAAGGTTACAACTTTAAAACCCTTAACCTAACTGTAACTGAATCAACGGCTTCCGCGACCTGACGGAGTACTCTTCCCCTAGGGATCCAAAACTCGGTGACGGACGGCTTTTGTCTATCTCGGAGCTTACACACATTCCTGCCGTTTCTACATATCTAAAAACGGCAAGCGGTTTATAAGGGTAGCCAGGCCTGGTCCTTTTAACTTTGGGCCCTTCTGTAAATTTGATACTTGGGCTCTCGGACTCAAAAATAATTTTTGTTGAGTCGGAATCAAATAATCCGATCCAAACCGGCAGCAAAAAGAGCATTCGAATTTCGAAGCAACAAGAATTTCAAGTTTGTCCGTCACAAAATTTGATCGATCTACTATGTGTCAGAATTCTCGTGACATCCAAAAGAGATCCTAGTGGATTTCACATTCACGTTCCTCCTCAGTTCTATATGGCAGGGTACAAAGGCAGAGCATGATCCACCATCTCCTATTACTGTGATCAAGGACCCTCCATACTTGTGGAATTTGTTCACAACATATTTTGATACTCTGTAGAGTGAAGATAAGGAAACAGTTGTCCATGCTTTTAACGGACCTTCCCATGCTTTCAGCAAGCTGCTAAGACTGCATTGAGCTGCGTGCAGCATATTCTGTTCTGGAGTTAAGCCGCCCAGATTCTTCTCTTGCTTGTAAGGTGCTGCAAGAATCACAAGCCAAGAATGACACTGATTTATCCAACAACATTATACAAATACAATCCTCGCTAGACCAATCATCTTATTTCCAGTCGCTTAAAGTAGATAATAAAGTCTGGTTTTGATTGCAGTTGAATACCTGTAAACAAGGGATATCACTCTATGGATGTGCACTTCATCGGGTAATTTTGATAAGAAAGTGTTTCAATCGATGATAGAAAACTGCATAGAGAGAGAGAGAGAGAGAGAGAGAGAGAGAGAGAGAGAGAGAGAGAGAGAGAGAGAATGGAATCGAGATATCTGGAAAACACTCTATTGATATCACAATCAGTGAAGTGAAATTGGTGCAAAAGCTGAAAAAAGCTTACAGAGAGAGAGGGAGAGAGAGAGTGATGAAGGGAAAACTAGAGAGATAGAAAGCTAGAAGCTTGCATAGGATGCAGTTCCCACTGAAAAGCCAAACTTGTCATGGAATTTCTTTGTGTTACAGTCCAGCATTTCTCTAAGGCTGCAGTCAATGTTATTCCTTTTGACAAGTTTATACCGTGATTCTACCTTCTTCTTTAATCCATGGTGAAAGAATTCAGGATAAGAAGCCACTTCATCAATGCCTCTTCCCATCACCTGGACTAGGAATCTGATCCTAGGTTGTAGTGAATTCTTAATGCTCTTAATCAAAATTGGGGGATAGCCAGTCACCATCGTTGCTATCTGGGCATCTCCAAACCCACACTCCCTCAGATAATCATAATTTGGTTTGAGAATCTTGTTAACGTCTCTGCACACAAGTTGTGGAAAATTCATGACCACCGACTGGATGCCATCCTCAGTCAAACCAACGGAGGATTTCAAGAATTCAGTGGTAGGCCGCAACCTTTTATCAACACTATACCCCATAAGAAATGGGTGCTTGACCAGGACTTTCCCGATCATCCCATCTTGGTCAAGGCCAAGACTAGCAAGAAAGCTGACAATCACTGCGAGCTTGGTGTCGATGCTGTAGCTGATAAGCCTTGGGTTAAAAAGTATCATTTTGCCAAGTTGAGTCTCAGGCACACCCAACGCTTGAAAGAAAGCAAGAAGGGGACACAGTTTCTCTTCCACGCTATGAGAGAGTATTGGAGGAAATTTGGTAATGGCGGAAGCAACTTCCCGAGGAGTCCTTCCTAGACCGGAGAGGCACTCGACCATGGGGATGAGCCTCTCATCGAGGCGTAAAGTGAGGATTTTGGGGCATCGGGAGACGATGTAAGGGAGTTTTCTCTCTTGGATTCCAACAATGTTTCTCAGGTAGTCCCAGTTTTCAGATGCCACATCGCTTTGGGCCTTTTCCAACTGTTTGCACTTTTTCAACATCTTGTCGATACTCGGATCATCGAAACCTTTGTCCCTGAAGAACCACATGATGCTGCTGCTGCTGGTATTTGTGGCCTCCATAGACGTTACTACAACATATTAAAAAAGAATGACAATTCTGCTTAAGATTGATTCGAGCTTGAACAAGGAAGTAGAGAGGAATTACCTTAGTCAGTAGAGCCTTTCCGCCTATCCGACTGAACCGAGAGTGAGAAGCTTATCCACAGAGGTGGAGCGGTATTTTTCTTATACCCTTACAGAGTAAATGACTATTCTATCCCTCAACTCTCAAGCCTTCTCGCGACACTTCTAACTAAACCCCTTCCCTTCTCCTCCTTGTTCCCATCCGTCAAAATCTGCAAAACCCTAACTTTTTGAATCAGCGGCAGAGAACGATGATGCCCTCCTCGAAAGCCGTCGTTTTCGCGAGGCAGATGGCGAAGAAGATTCGTGTTACGATGCCGTTGATGTCCGCAACACGCTTTGTCTCAAATGGTCGAGAACATGAGCAGAACCCCCCGGAGCCTTTACCCAACAGACCCTTGCGAGGGGATAGATCTTCCAACTCCCATAGAGAACCACCCGCCAGACAAGGCTACAACCTTGGAAAGAGTGATAATACTCTGTCTGACCATGGCTTCCTCGAACAGTTCAAACTCGGAGTCAATCAGGATTCACAGGAGATCCCCAAAACGGCACAGAACCCCCAGGAAGAAACAAGCCAGCCCGAAGATTCCGATGAGATCTTCAAGAAGATGAAGGAAGGAGGTCTCATTCCTAATGCCGTCGCCATGCTTGACGGCCTCTGCAAAGATGGGCTTGTACAGGAGGCCATGAAGCTCTTCGGGTTGATGCGTGACAAGGGTACAATCCCTGAGATTGTTATCTACACTGCTGTCGTTGAGGGCTTTTGCAAGGCTCATAAAATTGAAGACGCTAAGAGGATTTTCAGAAAAATGCAGACCAATGGGGTCGCCCCAAATGCCTTCAGCTACGGTGTGTTGGTTCAGGGATTGTATAATTGCAACATGCTAGATGATGCTGTTGCTTTATGTGGTGAGATGCTCGAGGCTGGTCACTCTCCCAACGTCCCCACTTTTGTTGGATTGGTTGATGCATTGTGCAAAGAAATGGGCCTCGAACAAGCTCAGCTGGCTATCGATAGCTTAAACCAAAAAGGATTTGCTGTTAATGTTAAGGCTGTCAAAGAGTTCATGGACAAAAGGGCCCCGTTTCCGTCTTTGGCTTGGGAAGCTATATTCAAGAAGAAACCAATCGAGAAACCCTTCTGAGTGTCTATCACTTACGCAGTGCTTTTAGGTAATGCCGTCTCTATAAAAATGTTTTCTTTACCTGTAATAACAACCTAGAAAGAGAAAATGAATCTGCGTGTGTTTCCTACTTGCGAGTGTTCCCTTTTGCTTGGAGTCTGATATCAAGTTTTCTCCTTTGTCTTCTAAATAGTGTAGTTGTAATTCATGATTGAGCCGATAGAGATCCCCCCTATTCTTGCCAAGGGTAGTTACCTGTTTTCATTTCATTCTACTATTGATTACAAGTTCAATGAATAGTGCTAGAGTCGGTAGATTTCGCATTGTGTTAGTGGCATTAGGTGTCAGACTGTCAGATTATGCTTGAGGTTTATCAGTCATTTTTGTATGTGACTGTCGCAAATCTTATTATTGTCTGTTGCAATAATACTGTGAACAATCCTCTGTTGTCTGCACAGTATTATTGGGAACAGACACTAGGCCTAAAACTACGTCACTCTCATAAGGTACTGCTGATCCGAGGGAGGGACCAGGAAGCCGCTGTATTGTATACAATTTTGGCACAACAAAATGTTTGGAGTCAACATTAAAATAGTTTTTTGATTCACTCGGAGATCTTTACTTGATTTGGTCGGCTGTATTTATATTCATGAACGCAAAGTCAAGGCCTGTTTTGGTGGAAGAACGACTCCTTGCTTTTAATCCCTATATTTGTAAAAGAGAAGTACAAAAAGTGTTTCCGGGTCGGGTCAATTTCAAAAAATTACCCGAAATTTGTAATTGGATCTTTTAAAATTGGATAGATTAATGGGTTTGGATACATACACCGGATACTTTCCAAATCTAATTTTATGATTGTATTATTTCCATAACTAATTATAAGATTTACTAATATTTCTCTAACTAATGTAATACAATCTATTTAAAAAATATTATTCTTCTTTCACTTTTATTTGATATTATTTTTAATTTATGATATTATACTATATAATATAAATATTTAATAAAAATTTAACTTTTTTTTTTTGCATATGTTGCAATTTGAATTTTTCAAAACGGACATATAATACTCAACTACACTCGGTTAAATATTTTGGACAACGGTTTAAAATCATTATAAGTATGACCAATATTAAAACCATTGTTACATGAGCATATTTAATATTTCAAATAGTTTCAAAATATTGTAAATAAAAAGTTCAAATATATAAAACTTTTTAGAATTTAAAATATTGTAAAAGTTTAATAATGTAGGCCAAAACCTAGGTCAAAACGAGTTACGAATAATGTTTTTTACGAAATGAATTTTGTTACGGGTTGGACTTTCAAAAAATATATTGTAAATATGTAACTTTTACGTATATTCCTACTTTTACTACAAAAATGGCCAAAATGAATAATTTATCGACAAATATTATTTCGTGCTGTTAAATTTTCACCGTGTTTTTAATTGTATCAAAACTCAGTATATGATTATTTACTCGCTTTTTCCTTAATTATTTTATTTAAACTTATTATAAAAATATATGATTTACCGTAATCGACTGCACTCTAACAAAATTAAAATGTAACATATTTTAATCCGATAAAAGTTATATATATGTAATTATTTCCCCCGCGCTGTAGCGCGGATCCGAACCTAATATATTTATATTTAAGCATGCCCTTGAGTCTGGAGTCTGGACTATGTTACGTGACGACTCCGAGGTTTAAGGGATCAAGGTGAGTTGGGTGGGTGGTGATTTCAATGCCATATTTTCCTCTTGTCATTACTATTATTATATGGAAGTATCAGGTAGTGCGTAAGATGGAAGCATGTGCATCTCGTACGTTGACCATAGCCTCTCTAAGAGTTTTCTTGGAGTTGGGAGTATCGCTGACTTGATTAAAGAAAAACAACAAATGAATCTCTCTAAGAGTTTTCTTGGAGTTGGGAGTATCGCTGACTTGATTAAAGAAAAACAACAAATGAATATAATAAGAAATGGGAGGTGGGGTCGGCGCCGTCCCTACACTCTGCCGTATTCAAGGTTCGATGGCCATCGCCGAGTTGATATTTACTAGTCTATAAAATAGAGGGAATGAGTGAGGTAAAGAATCAGAAAGCAGGAGAAAGATGATTTCAATGTTGTTTCCGCGGTCGTCTTTGTGCACAGCAGCCATAGTGTTCTTCTATACATATGTGTGCATTCCCTTGGGGAGGTTGAAGAAGAATGGTGGTGATGCCGACGCGCATGATGATGATGATGGTTACCACCTAGTGCGAGTGATGTTTGGGGACAAGGAAGAGGAGAAGGAATTTTGCTGTCCCATATGCCTTGTGGAGTTTGAGGCTGAGGATGTGGTGACTTATCTTCCCAGATGCTCTCATCTCTTCCATATTAATTGCATTGAGCCTTGGCTTCTCCGTGGCCATCTCACTTGCCCTCTCTGCAGATCATTTGTATTGGCTCCAACTCCTCCTACCCGCAATGTCAATAATGCCCCCTCCTCTTCCACCTTGTATCTCTCTATCTTCTTCTTTTTCTGTCTCTTTCTCCATCTACTTGGATACTTGTAGCTTACCTTCCTTGTTAACTCACCCATTCATTATACTATATTGTTTGTCTTAGTTTCGTAGCACATAATGCGTTGCTGTCTCCATCCACATTTCAATCAAGATTACTCAGCTTTATGAAATACTGTACAAAAAAGAGACGAAAGCAGCAATTGTTACTTTACTCTGTTTCCCAGTTGATTTGTTTGTTACTCTGAGAACTGAGAACCATCAAAATAACTTATAAAAGTATTCATTACTTCAATGATACTGATACACGATGCCAAACATTCCAGCCTCTCTAATGGGCCTTTTTTGTACTCATTAATAGATCAAAAGTGGGCCTTCTATTAAACCATAACAGATTTAAAATGGGCCTTTCAAGTGACTCATTCCTTTAATAGAAAAAAGGTTGGAATAGAAGAAGAGTGTAGGCTACACACACACAGCTTCAGAAGAGGAGACTCTCTCTCGAGTCTCGACTGCGCCTTCCTTTGAAAATCTGAAACGAAAAGGTAAAGAGCTCTCTTCTCTTCTCGTCGGGGAAGGAAAGAAGAAGAAATCCACAGAGAGATAGAGTCGCAGCTTCGCCTCCCACATTTCCCTCTCCATTGACTGCGACTGTGATTACAGCACACCGTTGATCCTACAAAAAGGTCAGACTCTCTTCCTTGCCTGCGTTTTTCCAGTTTCTGTCGACTGTCTTGCCTCGCCGGCTTTTGATATTCTCACTTGTTTCCCGTTCTCTTCTGCACATTCGATTTGATGTTTCGTATCATAAATATTCGAACTGGCTCCGCGACTCTGCGGCTAGGGTTTAGTTTATCAATTTTTTTATTTTTTTAATTTTCTGACAATGAACCGGCTTGCAGAGGGAATGGATACTGGCGGCAATTCGCTGGCGTCCGGACCTGATGGTGTGAAGAGGAAAGTCTGCTATTTCTATGACCCTGAGGTCGGCAATTACTACTATGGGCAAGGTCACCCCATGAAGCCTCATCGTATCCGCATGACCCATGCCCTTCTCGCTCACTACGGTCTCCTCCAGCATATGCAGGTTCTTAAGCCCTTCCCTGCCCGCGACCGTGACCTCTGCCGATTCCATGCCGACGACTATGTTTCTTTTCTCCGCAGCATTACCCCTGAAACCCAGCAAGATCAGATTCGTCAACTCAAGCGCTTCAATGTCGGTGAAGATTGTCCCGTCTTTGACGGCCTTTATTCCTTTTGCCAGACCTATGCTGGGGGCTCTGTTGGTGGCTCTGTCAAGCTTAACCATGGCCTCTGCGATATTGCCATCAACTGGGCTGGTGGTCTCCATCATGCTAAGAAATGTGAAGCTTCTGGCTTTTGCTATGTCAATGATATCGTCCTAGCTATCCTGGAGCTCCTTAAGCAGCACGAGGTTTGTCTCCTGCACCATTATGATATTTCTAGGGATGGTTTTGTGGTTTCTGTATCTCTTACACTTCCTCTCTTGTTTGTTTACAGCGTGTTCTATATGTCGATATTGATATTCACCACGGGGATGGAGTGGAGGAGGCATTTTATGCTACTGACAGAGTTATGACTGTCTCTTTCCATAAATTTGGGGACTACTTTCCCGGTACAGGTCATATACAGGACACAGGTTATGGAAACGGAAAGTACTATTCTCTCAACGTTCCACTGGATGATGGAATTGATGATGAGAGCTATCATCTGTTATTCAAGCCCATCATGGGGAAAGTGATGGAAGTATTCCGACCAGGTGCTGTAGTATTGCAATGCGGTGCTGATTCATTGTCTGGTGATAGGTTGGGATGCTTTAATCTTTCGATCAAAGGTCATGCTGAGTGCGTCAAATTTATGAGATCATTCAATGTTCCCCTACTGCTCTTGGGTGGTGGTGGTTACACCATCCGAAATGTTGCCCGGTGCTGGTGCTACGAGGTACTTTCCTCTGTTCATTATATGCTGCTATAGCTTTGCACTGAAATTTCCTTGGTCTCTGTACCAAGGTTAGCTCTTTGTGACAAGCTGCTACTTTTTTTGTTTGTTTTGGTATTTACTGTGACAAAATCTTTATATTATAGACTGGAGTTGCACTTGGAGTTGAAGTTGAAGACAAGATGCCGGAGCATGAATATTATGAATACTTTGGTCCAGACTATACACTTCATGTTGCTCCAAGTAACATGGAAAATAAGAATTCTCGTCAGATGCTTGAAGAAATTCGCAATGACCTTCTTCACAATCTGTCTAAGCTTCAGCATGCCCCAAGTGTACCATTTCAGGAAAGGCCACCAGATACAGAGGCTCCCGAGGTATGTCTCTGGACCTAATCATTTGAAGTGTGTTGGCTCCTTTATTTGTGTTGCCCACTCTTTCTTGCATTTCCTCATTGATTTTGGTGATTTAAGTGTAACTACAGAAACAATAAGAGTTTTCGAATTTAATAGCTGAGGCTGGTGAATAATTTCGCCCAATTAGATATGTATAACTATTCCCTGATGAATGATTCTGGTTGTTTACCAATCGTCGTGTTGTAAAATACGCTTTCTATTAAACTATAGGTTGATGAAGACCAAGAAGATGGAGATAAAAGATGGGATCCGGATTCAGACATGGATGTAGATGATGACCGGTATGAATTTATATTCTCCTCCTTTCTTTTTTCTTGGGTTTGTGCCTGCGGTGTAATGTGTACTTTTTTGGCATCCCGTTGTGCAGTAAACCTATACCAAGCAGAGTAAAAAGAGAAGCTGTTGAACCGGATACAAAGGACAAGGTACTACAGAATTGGCTCTTATTTGTTTCGATTGCTCAGACATTTAGTCATTACTTCATCTAGGTTGACAGCATTTTTCAGAACTGAATCTTCTTTGCCCAATGGGCCCGAAAAACATCACATTTTTTTTTTCTCATCCTGAGACCCCAAAACAGAAAAATTCCAGGATAGATCTTATGCTGACATTGAATCAGTTAATCTGAGCTGGTGATACATTCACATGAGGGTAGCGAATCATTTAGCCTAGGCTAGTTAGTATGCTCCAACAATTGACTTGATTAGAAAATGCGACCTTTCTAAGCTGAGCTAAACTATTCCTGCCTCTCAATCCCTAAACTGTCTCCTCTTGTTCCTGATGTTGACTCAATTGTCCTTAATGTCAGCCTATCAGTTCAGAATGCAATTTGGTTAAAGAGTTAAAGAATTTAATAGTTTATGATGACGTGTTTGTGCAGGATGGACTGAAAGGAGTCATGGAGCGTGGCAAAGGTTGTGAGGTGGTGATAGATGAGAGTGGAAGCAAGGTAAAATGAAACAATAGACAGGGCTGAAAGACTGTGAATGGTTTACTAATGTGGTTAGTTTGATTGCAGGTTACAGGAGTAAACCCAGTGGAAATGGAGGAAGCAAGTGTGAAAATGGAAGAGGAAGGAACAAACAAGGGTGGGGTAGACCAGGTGTTTTCTAAAACATAAAAGTTGGAGCTTCTCATTGCTTACTTTTTTCTCTCTCTCAAATGTTTTTAGTTCGTTTCTTGAGTTGTTGTAAGCACTCCTGTGTTTTGAGGATTGAGCACGGACGATATGTAATATATTATTCGTTACATGTCTGAATGATGGACAAGACAGAGTAGTTCCTTTTCTGTTATGTGTTTATTGATGTGCCTTAATCTGATAGAGTCGAAGAGACCTGCTTGTCCTAAATCTCTTAAGGCTGTTGCTTTGCCTTACACGAGTGTGTCCTCTCTCCCTGTACGATGGCATTGAGCCTAACCAAATGAGAATGATAGGAGGAATCATAAACGACAATTTTAACTGCTATGGGATTTCGTTTTGACTCAATTGTAGATTAATTTTAAAATTTGACAATGAATAAGAATGTTAATCTATTAAGATCAAGCGAAACACGTTGATCTCTCTCTCTCTCTCTGTGTCCGTCTCCGTCTGTGTTTGCTTAGTTTTAACCCCGGAAACTGAACATGTTCACGGCGGCAGCTTCGTCAAGCGCGGGAAGATGGCGGACGGCGTTTCTCTCTCTCAGGGACGAAATCTTAACCACTCCACCGCCGCCGCTTCCTCTGTTGCTTCAGGATCTACTCTTCTCTCAACCCCATTCCCTTCTCTCTGCCGTCTCTCACCTCCCACCGCACGAGCTCACTTCCGATTGCTTGTTCCTGCTCGATTTGGTTTCTAAAGCTAATGATGGTCCTGACTGGATCCCTGTCTCTCGTCAAACTTGTCAACTGGTGCGTCGTCTTCTCCTCCATCATTCCCTTGTCTTCTTATTGGGATATCTCCTCCTTAATTTTTCTTCTTCTTTTTACTAATTGCCTTAGTAATCCAGATTCACGGTGTTTGTGCTCGTGTACTTTTGCAACTAAATTCTTCCTCATGGCCGCTTCTTCTTCACTCTTTTGCTTGTGTCTTGGAGTTTCTTCTTCGCCAACCCATGCCTTCACCCTATTCCACTGCATATTTCTCCAGAATCGAACCCGTGATCCAATGCTTCGAGACTTTAAGGTTATTATATCTTCTCACTCTCTGGTTGGTTTTGTCTTGCTCACATTGTTTTAACCTTCTTCGTAATCTTTTCCTTTTTCCCCCCAAGACGTTTGGCCGCTATGTACCACAGAAATAGCTCCCATCTGGACAACATTCATCTAGTCAAGTTTCTTCTGCGCATAATTCCATTATTACACCAGGATTTACTTTCATCGTATGGTTTCTCAAAACAAGACCCTCCTACTTTAGATCAGGAAAAGAAGCTGCCTGAACAGCATAGCTTATGGGACTCCATGGCTCTTGCCTTTGACATGCTTGGTAGAGCATTTTCTGTGTCTGAGTCTTTGTTTCCTACTGACGTCTGCCAATGCACGCTAGAGGTTATCTTCGCCCTTTACAGATATATCCTCTGATTTCTCTAATGTGCTTTGTTTCTCAAGTTGGTGCGTCCTGATATAGGTTCTAAGGAAAGTAATGGACGTCCTAGCATCCAAGGGCCAGCTTGTCGAAGACCGATTTATGTGGAGGTACGTCTTAAGGGCTTTAGAACGATGCCTTTGGTTTTGAGCAGAATACTATTTACTCCTTTTTCTTCCTGGATTATTTTAGTCTGATGTTCCCCTTAGGTAATGTTGATTTCATATTTTTCTGCAGGTTTTATTCATGCCTTCTAGACTGTGTTCACGAGGTCCTTACACATATAAAATGCCCTATTTCTGATCACGTAAGTGGCTCTTGATAGCCTTAGCTAAGTGATTGTGTGGTTTAATGCATATGCAGACTTTTTTCCTTTGTTTGAGCAGAAGTTTTAATGTTGCAGGTCTCAAGTTTCATAGCGGCATTGAGAATGTTTTTCTGTTTTGGACTTGCTGGCCCACCTCAGTTCTCTCATTCTGATGTTGTTCACAAAGATAAGCAGTTAGATGTCAAGCTTTCTACATTGATTTCTGGAGCAAGTAACAACAGAAAGAATACTCCTTATAGGCCACCCCACTTGCGCAAGAGGGATGATACAAACACTAAGCAGCAAGTATCTTGTGACTGGCGGCGCCCGGCTGCTCATGATTCTGGTTGTTCTGATGTTATATCATCAGATTCTGATTTTAGCGACAGTGACTGTTCTGCACGGGATTCTTATTTGGCCCAAAGCTCGAAGGTCAGGATAGCTGCTATTGTTTGCATACAGGTGAGTAGCAATGTTTTACTCTTAGTTGGTTCTCATCTTACTTAACTTTTCAGTGAAAATACTAATTCAATTTCTTATTCTCCTGTAAAGGATCTTTGCCAGGCTGATTCAAAGTCATTTACCACTCAGTGGATGACTCTCTTTCCAACCAGTGATGTACTCAAGCCAAGGTGGAAAGTTTTACCTACAACATCTTTCTCTCACCATATCGTTCTATTTTTTGTCTCCTTAACTTTCCGAGATCATCAACAGGAAATTTGAAGTTACTCTAATGACCTGCTTGCTTTTCGATCCTCATTTGAAGGTGGTTACTCTTGTCCATTTTTAAGTCATTGAGGCACATATTTCGATGCTTTTCTCCATTTTTCACCTTCTCAATATCTTTTGTTGTTAAGCAAATATATGTAGAGATATTTTTCTAGCTCAACTTCGTGACTGCTGACTCCTGACAATACTTTTTTGTTTTATTTTGCAACGTCTAGGTAAGGATTGCATCAGCGTCAGCTCTTGCCACCATGATGGATGGGCCTTCATCTATTTTCCTTCAAGTGGCAGAGTACAAGGAATCCACCAAATATGGATCTTTTATGCCCCTCTCCAATTCCCTTGGTCTAATACTGATGCAACTCCACACAGGTACTTCAGTGATATAAATTTTCTTACCCTTTATCTTCTTAGTTGGCTATTAGTTATTCCTTCTAAGAATTTCATGCCTTTCGTATTAGTGTAGGCATTCTACATTTGATTCACAGCGATCATCATGGTAGATTGTTGATTCAGCTGTTCAAGATCCTATTGCTTCTGATATCAAGCACACCGTACGTACATTTCTTTTCTGTTTTATCTTGTCAGCTCATGATTATTGATATTATTTTTATTATAAAACTACTGTATTGTTATAAAGGTCCATTATCGCAAAACCTTAACAGCCTTGATTAAGATTTACCTTTGTGTAAGTGTACGAAAGCTTCATGAATACTTGTATAGACGCAGATCTGTTTATATGATGTTACTTTTTGTTAAAATTTGCAACTACTTTGGGATCTTTTACGAGATTTTCATGTGTTATTTAATGTTTGTTATCATTTTCAGTTACTCGAGAATGCCAGGAGAATTGCTGCCAAAAGTTATAATGTCTCTGCATGCTAGGATTAATGAGGGGTTTCCTTTAAAAAATGATAAAACTGGTCTGCTGGTTAGTGCTTTCTTTTCCTTATGCGGTTTTGTCTGTTTGCTGTCTTCGTTTATGATGGAGATGTATGAATTCATGTTTTCATATCTAGGTTTTCTGTCTGGACTATCCTAGTTTCCATTAGCGGAAGTCAAAGGATGTAAACTAAATTTAGTCACATATATAAATTCGTCGACTTAGGGAAGCAATAGGAGGAGAAAAATATTGGTATTTCTATGGACGGTACAAGGATTGGACAAGGGTCTAGAGCTGTGTTTCCAGTCATAGGATTTAAACTAATATTTTAGTTACTTTACTATATATCTCGACTTCGTGAAGCAATAAAAGGAGAAAGATATTTGGTATTTCTCTGGATGGTACAGATATCAGACAAGGGTCTAGAGTGTTTGGGAGAGTTTTGTCTCTGTTTTTTGTTTTGCAGTCCTTATCCTGTTAATAAACACTGTTCTAGTTCGATTCTTTCGCTGAATTCCTCTTCCCATCAATCTTAAGTTTTAATTCATTGAGGCAAAGAAGAGATGTGGTATGAACTAAATAATGATCTCTCTTCGTTCATTCAACCAAACAAAAACTCACAGCTTGAAACTCTTTCAGTAGAGGAGTCTCAGCTCTGGACCCAATACCCAACCCACACCTTTAAACTTTCCAATGATTTTCACATTTTCCCCATTCTATCTTACTCTTTCCACTCTTGGCCTAGATGGTTAGTAAAGCTGAGCTGGGAACTTAGGCATTTAGCTTGCTGAATAATTATTCTCTGAACTCAAGCTTATTCTCTTAAAAGTGTTGGTCTTGTGAATGCCATAACTATATCATGACCTGTTTTATATAGGTTGCCGCAGTAGGTTGCCTGACAGCTGCGTTCTCTACGTTTCCTCCTCAAATGAAAGTACATAATATGCTTTTGGATGAGACATCAGCAGGTTGACCTCATCTTGGTCTTGTTCCATTATGGAGACTGTCCTAACCATACTGTCAATATTTTATTTGACATTCTTTCTATAAGTCATTTCAGGATTCGTTGGATGTGAATGGAATTCAGGAGTTCTTTCTACTTTATTTCGTTTTGCTGAGCAATTTTCTGAAGCATCAACATGCATTGAGGCTCTTCAGGTATTAGATGTTCTTATTGTAGTATTTTTTTTTTTCTCCTCAGAGGAGTTCTTATAAGTAGAATGATAGACACATAATAAATTCAGGTGGATGTTTAACATGTTTGTGCTAAGGTGGGTTGTGGTAGCAGATTATGTGAGACTGGGTCATGATTGAGGAGTACGCTAACTTTTTGTTTCCATTTCATTTATTACTATTCTGTCCTAGACAAAGTTTCTAGTTTTCATGTAGAGATTTTGATAATGACTAATGAGCTGCTACATAGCATGTCCTGTGTTTTCATCCAGATTTATATGGTTTTTCGCGCAGGTCCTCCGAGCTGTGGCTCTCAGTTACCCAACTTTAGTGCCAGCATACTGGGAACGAGTCTCTCTCCTCGTGTATAAAATTTTACAGTCTGCTGCTGTTGAAGTTTCTCCAAAGACATGGAAGGTTTCAGTTAGAGAGTCTGTTGGATATATTGGGGATAGAATCCTTACAGCTGCTATTAAGGTAGGATATCAAATAACCGTGTTCAATATATTAGAAACTGAAAACATCTTCTATAAACCCTAGCTTCTCTGGAGCAGGGCCTTTTATTGCTGATTGGTAGTATGCTCAGATTTAGTTTGGATATTGTCTGCTCTTGAAAAGAATTTAGCTTGACAATAAACCATTTGAGCAGAACTTACACAGATTGTATGTAGGTTTTGGATGGATGCCTTCGCGCAATATCTGGATTTAACGGAACAGAAGATCTTCAGTACGATAGATTAATGGATACACCATTTACATCTGACTGCATAAGGTCAATAAGAATCTCATCTGCGCCATCATATGGAATTGAGAATTCCCAAGAGCCATCTTTTCAGGCAGGATGTGAGCAATGGTCTGAGGCTATTCGTAAACATATAGTTCTGGTGTTACACCATGGTTCTGCAGTGGTGAGTTTAAATTTTTGACAAGTTTTTGTTTTTGTACACCAAAATACTACAATGCAGTTGCTGTAATTTGCATAATATCTGCGGTCCTGAATATCTTCCTATGTTTGGAAGGTGAGGAGTACTACTGTTACTTGCTTTGCTGGTATTACATCCTCCATATTTGCCGCTTTTAATAAGCAGGAAAAGGACTTTATTACTTCATCAGTTGTAAGTAGTGGAGCCTTTTTTTGATTGTTCGTAATACTATCTAGACTTTAATTTGAATTTGTACATGAAGTGTTTTAGTTTTTGTAGATAGCCGCTGCATTGCATGACAAAACAGCTTCAGTCAGATCAGCAGCTTGTCGAGCTATTGGTGTAATTTCATGTTTTCCAGATACTTCATTAAGGTAATATAATCCTTTCTCACCGTTTGTTGTCATTCTCTGGTTATTGTCCTAACTCAAGCTTGGAAAGATATCCATGGTCAAGAACTTTAAGATCTTTGTTGATGCAGTGCGGAGATATATGAAAATTTTTTCATAGCTGTTGAATCAAATACCCGTGACTCCTTGACTTCGGTATTGCATTATTGATTTTCATTTATTTGTTCTCATGAGCTATGCATTTTATATATACTCTTTCTACTTCAATGTGTTTATGTTTGTCAATTCAGGTGCGTATAACAGCATCATGGGCTTTGGCCAATGTATGCGACTCTTTGCGATACCGCGTCGATGATAGGTCTTTTGAAGGTATTACTGCTGACGTTATAAATAGATGTGATACAACTTAAGGATTTACATTTCTTTTATCCTCCTACGTAGGGTTTACTACAACTTCACAAGTTGTGGACGCACTAATAGAATGTGCTTTGCGTCTTACTGAGGATGGGGACAAGGTAATGAAAATCGTGCCCAGTATATTTTGACAAACTGGCATCTCTTCCAACTCAGTGATATGCTCGTCAGTCCCAAAATGTTCCTGTATTAAGTTAATTAGTTGTTCTCTCCGTTAATGGTTATCCGGAAGATTTTTCTCTGATAGATATATTCACTGCACTCTTTTGTTCCATATGGTTGTTGAAACTGGCTAGCCGATAATTTTTTTTCTATGGATCACTTAGTAGTTTTTAGTATTGTAGTTTTGTGCACATTTGCCATCATCATTTTCGGAATTCCATTGTTAGGTTAAATCCAATGCAGTTCGGGCGCTGGGGAGTATTTCAAAATATGTAAATTTGAGATTCATGACAAGTAGAAAGTCAATGGACCAAGATATATTTCCTTTTCCCCATCAACATTCATCAAATTCTGACCATCTATCTTGCGCGGGAGATACAAGGTGGTTGGAGAGAACCGTGCAAGCCCTTCTTTCGTGTGTTACTACTGGTAATGTTAAGGTATACCTGATAAATGGAAGTAATGAGATGATTTCATTTGAATCTGAGCATGTGGGTTTCAATCAGTTTTTGTTCCAGTTGGGCAAGATTTTGGTTTGGTTTGATAGAAAACTCTTATACAGAAACGGTATTTAGTATGATCTGGTTTGGTCGAATTTGGTTCGGTTAGTTAACTCACGCATCCCTACCTTTATCTACTACATACTTTGACGTCAGGAATTTTACAGGTTCAATGGAATGTTTGTCATGCTTTGAGCAATTTATTTTCTAATGAGACAATAAAACTGCAAAATATGGATTGGTAAGCATCCTTTAGCTTTCTATTATCCAAGCTGCCTCTCTTCGTGACCTGTATTAACTTTTTTTTTCACCCGTTTGCAGGGCTCCAAGTGTTTTTAGTATTCTACTATTGCTGCTTCGTGATGCATCAAACTTTAAGATAAGAATACAAGCTGCTGCTGCTTTAGCTGTCCCAGCAACCCCACTTGGTGACTTTGATTATAATCCGACTTCTCCCTCCTTCCTTTGTAGCTATATTAATTTAGAGATGATAGGATTGTATTGTTTGGCTAATTTCTTTTTTTGCACATAATGTAATTGCAGCTTATGGGAGATCATTCCCTGATGTTGTCAAAGGAGTGGGGCATACTTTACAAAGTATGCATTCTGACAAAGAGACCACGCCAGCAAATTTTAAATATAAGAGATCGCTTGAGAATCAGGTACAAGTAAAACCATGTTGGCGTAATTTATGGTTATTGATGAATGATTTATCTAATGTGCAAATGCTCGTGTCAGTTAACCTCAACCATGCTGCATCTCCTGAGCCTAGTTTCAAGCTGTCATTTTGAAGCGTTGACAGATTTTCTTATAAGAGTAAGAAACTGGCAGCTATTGCTGTTAATACCACTGTTATCATTGCTTAAGTTTTAAAGGAATTGTGACTCATATTTTCTTGGTTGGTGTCGCATGAAACCCAACAGAAATCGTCTTTTCTAGAGGAGTGGTTGAGAGGATTGTGTGTGACATTGAAGGAAGAAGACAATGCGTCTGGATCAAGCAGCACAAACACTTTGGGTGAGAAGCAGAAGAAAGAGTTGATTTATAGAGCTATACGTTCGCTTGCCAGAAGCTTACGGGATGGACAAAGTTCTGAAATGGCTTTAAAGTTGCAGGAGTTAGTAGCAATGTGAATTGACTGAGCAAGTAATGGTACTCGGGTTAACTTGGCCCTGTAATGTCTTAGTCAAGTGACTATAAACAATTCAACACATGTACATTAAGTCCCATGACAAATTTTGTTAAAAGAATCATGGGAGGATATACATTGGACCTATGAAAATGTTATAGAAAAATATATGTTTTCTTTTACATATACAAAATTTTAGTATATTCCTACGGTATACACCCATTAGCTAACAAGTTGGTCTTGTTATCTAATCAAAATAAAGTGTAAAAAGAATTTATACACGTATTATCAGCTACCAAGTTATGTTTATTATTCATGGATTGATCCAAAGTTGCTGTTTGTCGTTTCAGTTAAGTTAGATCTCACGAGCTAGTTTCAAAAGTTTTAGTAAAATATGACTACTACGTTGTTATTTACTCTCAAATTCACTTTAATTTTTCTTATAATTCAATTTTAATAATTTCATATATCAAAAAATTTATAGTATTTCATTCATTCACGATGATTGTTGTTTTTGTCGTAATTGGTTATAGGAAAATATTGATATAATGACTAAATCTCAATTTTTGACATGTATATATTTTTTAAAACTTACCAAATTAGAATCATATCTCTATAAACAGACAATTATTAATTTATTGTATAATAAATTTACAACACGAAATATTTGTATAAACTTATATTGAACCATGAAAACAACTCCTAGTATTTACTGAGTTTAGCGCCACTTTTCACATATGGTTTAGCGAGTAATATTGTTAATATATTAAGAGAGAACTGCTCATAGTTCATAGTCTAGGATTATGGATACAAATGATTATTCACAACTTAAGGTTAAGGGTTACTGTTCATAAAATTAGATATATTGTTCATATACACTGTTTATTTATAGGGTTAAGGATTTAGGGCCACTTTTCATTTAGGGTCTAGGACAACTGTTCATTTAGGGTTTACTGTTTAGGGCCACTGTGCATTTAGGGTTTAGGGTTACGGTTCATTAAGGGTTTAGGGTTACTGTTTATTCGGGGTTTAGGGTTAGGAGTTACTGTTCATTTTGGGTCTAGGGCTACTGTTGATTTAGGGTTTAGGGCCACTGCGCATTTAGGGTTTAGAGCCACTGCTCATTTAGGGTATAGGGCTACTGTTCATTTAGGGTTTAGGGTTACTGTAATATAGGGGTTAGGGTTACTGTTCATATAGGGGTTAGGGTTACTGTTCATACATGGTTTAGGGTTACTGTTCATTTAGGGTTTAGGGTTTAGGGTTTAGGGTTTAGGGTTTAGGGTTACTGTTCAGTTAGGGTTTAAGGTTTAGGGTTTAGGGTTTAGGGTTTAGGG